AAAATTATCCGCCCCTCCGTTTTTGAAGTTTCTATGTTTTTTTTTTTTGCGAGGGGGTAGGGGAGCCCCCCCCGACTCGAAACCCACTCCCTGGCCCCCAAACCCCCTCCCCGATCGGCCGCGGCGTCGGCCGAAAGTTCGTGACCAGAGCGGCCACGACCGGAGGGGTCCCAGCCACGACCGGCGGTCGCGGCCATGCCCGAACTCGGCCGCGGCCGAGGGGATACATAGCTCTTGGATCCGATAGTGCGAAGGCGCCGGATTGGGAGAGGAACAATTTGCGTACTTGTCGCAAAATTCGGGGTCGGCTTGATAGCCGCGGATGAAACCGTCCCGCAAGTCATTCTTTATCTCAAAGGTCGAGTAGACGGCGGTGTAGTGATCTGGACGCCGTGAAAGAGCATCCACAAAACGGTTTGACCTCCCCGGAATATGATCGGGAAAGAAGTCAAACTGGTCGATGAAATCCATCCAACGGGCGATCGTGTTGACGGTAGCTCGGGTCTTGTAAAAGACCAACAGATTGTTGTCCGTTACCCATCGGAATTGGCGTCGACCAAGGAGGAAGTGCCACCACCGCTTGAGTGCGTGGACAAAGGTGAGAAGTTCCTTCTTGCGTGCGTCATTGATTGAATGCACGACCGACACTTTCTTGCTGAAGTATTCGAATGGGTGCCAGTCCACGCCATCATGTTGTTCGAGGACGACACCAATGCCATAGCCGGACGGATCCGTAGTGACGTGCGTCGGCAATAGCGGGTCGTATATTCGCAAGGCTTCCGTTGATAGCAATGCGGCCTTAAGGGCCAGAAATGGTTCTCGCACATCCGTCCCAAAGTCAGATGGCCGGTCCTCGCATTGAAGCTTGGATAAGTGGGCCACGATCTTCGAGTATCCTTTGATGAAACGTTGGTAGTAGCCGGCAAGGCCAAGGAACGAACAGACATCCGTGACGTTCCGCTGCTCCGACCAATCTTGGATGGCTTGAATCTTGTCCGACAATGGACTGCTGCCTTGTGGAGTGACGAAATGGCCCAAATATTTCAACTCTTGACGTACGAATTCGCACTTGTCGCGGTTGGCTTTGTACTTGGTGCAAAGGAGCGTCTCCAACACTCGTCGAAGATGCTCGAGATGTTCCTCCAAGGTCCGGCTATAGACGAGGATGTCGTCCAAGTAGACCAGCACGAACCGGTCTAGCATTGCACGAAACTTGTTGGTCATCGCCGCTTGAAAAGTCATCGGGGCGGTGGTGAGTCCGAAAGGCATGACGACCCACTCAAAATGTCCGTACCGTGTCTTAAACGTGGTCTTGTAGCGATTTTGCGGCCGTATCAAAATTTGATGATACCCCGACTACAAATCCAGCTTGGAAAAAAAATTTGCGCCGCCCAAACGCTCCAGAAGGTTGTCCATACGAGGAAGAGGTCCCGCGTTCTTGACGGTTTGTGCATTGAGCTTGCGATAATCGATGCATAGGCGAAGATCCTTGTTCTTCTTCCGCACGAAGAGAACCGACGCACCATAGGGTGAGCTACTAGGCCAGATCCAGCCTTTGTTCAACAAATCATCGAGTTGCGCGCAAAGTACTGTAAGTTTCTCCTCGCTCATGCGATAGATGCGAACTTTCGGTGGCACGACACTGGCCTCGAGAATGACCTCGTGGGAGATCGGTCGATCCGGCACCACGCCGGTAGGTGACTCGAAGATGTCGGCGAATTCGTCAAGCAACTGTACCACAGGGGGGTCCGTAGACAAGTCCATGGGTTGAGATTCGGTTGCCGCGACGGTGCGAAGAAAACGTAGGCCTATCTCGTCGGTCCGCTCATAAGCGCAAGTGGCCCGAAAAGATTTGGCCGTTACGACTTGGCACCGGATCGAAGGTGCGGAAGACGGATGGTACATGGCACTTCGGCGCCAAACGCGTCGCGGACCGTAAGCGTCCGCCGATGGAAGTTGACTGTGTAATCCGCATTTGCAAGCCAAGGCATGCCCAAAATGATGTCGAAGTCCGTGTCCAAGACATCAAACGTCACCGGTTCACATGCATGAGGTGCGAAATAGACCGGTACGGCCTCGATGTAGCGGTCAAGGAGTTGTTGGGTCCTACCGTCCGCCAACTTGATTGTCGTAGGGTGTGCCTTCGTTCGAACTTGTGGGCCAAGGCCGACCCTTTGCATAAAGGACTGGCTAATGAAGTTGCGAATCGCGCCGCTATGCAGGACGTTTGCCCAACTTGGATGCGGATATAAAGGAGCAGTGCGTTGTTGTCGTCGTACCACTGTGTGCGAAACTCGCGGGCCACCTTGCTAACATATGCAAGAATGTCCCTCACCGCGACTTCGTCCTCCGTCGGCGAAGTTGGTGGTGCATAGAAGGCTAGGTATGTATGTAGATGAGCGTTAAGAGTTGCGCATTGTGGCTCCGGTAAGCAGCCGGTGGAAGGGAGAGGGAGCCATGCAAAATCCTCGGGCGTCAACGGGTCCATGTCCTCTATGTTGAACGCGCACGCCGAATCCCGTGAAGGTCCACTTGAAGACGACTCAATGCCGCTGCTTCCGAACGAAGAAGAAACCACACATACATCCTGTCCTTGGGCTCGTGAATTCAGCGAAGGTACGAGCCGGGCAACATAGTCCTCGAAGGAATGAAGAATGAGAGAGCTTACGACTTCTGCATGTGCCCCGGAACCGCGGGAGGTTACCCGTACGGCAACCGGTTCCGAAAGCGTCGAGAGTGTCGTCGCATCACTCTCGGCGATGCTCACTTTTCCGAATGGGTGGGGCCCTTGGCTTTCGTGGGATAGTTCACGGTCTCATGTGCCGCGCAGTTGCACCACAAACAATAACGGTACTTGCTGCGGACGCGATACCCGCGCTCCATCAGATCATATTGTGTCCAAGGTTCTTGAGCTGGAGCTGCTTGTCCGGGCCCAGAAGAAGTGGTGTTCGTCTTCGTTTTGCCGCGTCCTCATCCTTTGGCGGGGCGGCCACCATTCTGGGCAGCTGCTAATCTGTCTCACTCGGCAGAAGAGGCAACCTCGTTTGAAGTTGAAGGGTCGCTTGGCGTTGCTGCCGCGACCGCGGCCATGTTCGACCGATGCTGATACGCGCCCTGGTCGGCTGTCGACGAACGACCAATGTTCTTGGCTTCCAAGTTCGTCACAATGATCTGTGCGGCCTTGTTGAAGAGTTCCTCACTTGCGTTGAGGTTCTCGGCGACCCGAGTTAACGCATTTTGCAACGTTGGGCACAATCTTTTGATGAAGTAGCTTGATGCCGTCGAAGTTCAGTAGCAGCTTGGGCGTGCTTGCCAGGTGTTGGAACTCAGATATCCGGTCTCCACTTGGCATGTTGTTCTGTGTGAATGTCAGCAGCTTGTCCATTGCCTGATGCTCGGGCGGTTCCACTTAAAAACGCTTCTTCTATGCTGCCGTGAGATCGTCCAGGTGATGACGTTCTGTAACTCGGAGACTGTGCATGCATGTGCGGACAACATGTTGTCCAACCATGCCTGGTACGCACCTCCTGACCGGGAGTACAAGTATGCGTGTTGGTTTGTGTTGACGACATGGTGGATGTCCAACTTTAATTCGAACTGGCGCCACCAAGGTATAGGCTCCGTCTTCGATGCATCACAGAATTGGGAATGCTCGAGCGAGGCGCTGAGCTAGGTGCGGCTGCTGCTCCCACCTGATGGTCCAGTCGCTGTGTCTCGGTCTTGAGCATTCCCACGTCTATCTCCAAGACGTTGACGCGGTGGACGAGGTCGGAGGGGCCGACGCTGGAAGTGGCGACGGGTCGCTGCTCCAGCTGCTGTATGCGCTTGGTCAACGCCTGATTGGCGTGGTCGAGAGAGCGAATATTCACCTGTTGTGCAATGCAAGTAGCGAGGAGGTCCTTGACGCGGTTGAGAAAGAGAGTAATCATTGTCCCGTAGTCAACGGAGTCTCCATTCTCGGCCTCCTTCTGCCAATCCCTGGCCTGTGCGTGTAACACAGTTTCCTCCCTGAAGAGAATCTCCCGCCGCCGTACGCGTTCTTCATCGGCGACCTTTGTTGTTGCTGCTGCTGCGTGTTTCTGTCATTGATCTTCGCTCTGTCTCTGCCTCCCTCTTCTTCCGTGTTGCTGTTGATGCTTCTGCCCGTTGCTTGCTTTCGGTCATGATGGCCGCCAACCATGCCTCATAGGCAGTCTCGTTGGCTTTCTGATCCATCCCTGCTGTCTCTGAACGAGTGAGTAGGGTCATGTGCCGCGGGTAGCTGAGCCAGAAAGTAAGGACTTACCAAGGCTGTAGCCAGAACTGATGGGCAGTTGAGCAAGAAGAAGAGGAGAAGGAGTTGGGAGGGAGAGGTGGGGAGTGGGGGAATCGAGTGAATCGCCCATATAAGTAGCCACTAATCAAAAAATGAAAGTTGAAACTTTGCGAAAATTTCGAAAAAATAAAAATATGTTAAATAATTATTAATAAAGTTTCTCGATTGCAAGTTCGGTAGGTCTCCTATGTTTCCCCACAACAGGTAATTCGAAAAAAAAAATCGAATTTCAGACTGTCAATCAACAGAAAAAATTCGCAGAATTAAATATTCATTCTGTAGTAAAATTACATTCTAAATTTTAAATTTTCATTCCATCTTAAAAAATGTCATTCCAATTTTAAAATATTTCGTCTTACTTGAGAACTTTCCTTCCAAGAATGGGGTATCCCTTCTTATTTAGACTGCATGCTAGAGATGGAATGAAAGTCTGGATGAGTTCATGAAATATTTTAATTGGACTGTCATTCTAAGTAAGGATTTTCAGTCATAAATAAGATAATCCAATTTAAATTAGAAGATATTTGTTCTAGTAGAATGAAATTTTAATCAAAACATTTCATAAACTCGTCCAGACTTTCATTCCATCTTGAACAAATAGATGTAATTGGAAGGAAAAACTCATATTAGATGGGAACTTTTAAAATTGGATAAAAAATGGAATGATAATTTATAAATATGAAGGATTTTTTTTTATGGAATGTTTTTTCAACTTTCATTTCTCGCGGGAATTTTTCTGTTGATGCAAAGGATAGTAACGAATGGAGATGATCAAAGTAACTGAACTGCGAAAAATAAAAAAAATTCCGCAAGTTGGGAGAATTCCGAAATATAAAAAAATTTGAAAATTCTCAAGTGAGAGTATGCGTAGTTTGAAAACAAATGATTGTAGAGGATTTTCCCGTAAAAAAATAATTTTCGAATTTGGGAATAGCGGTCAATTTTGAAATTTTCGTTACCCCCGCAATGCGTGAAAACGCAAAAAAAATTGAAAATAAGTTTGAATAATGAATTTCAGAAAAAAAATCGGAATTTCGAGTTAACAGGAATTGCGAAGAAAAAGATGAATCAAAAAAAAAATCCGTAATATTTTCGGACCTCCAACACCGGAATTTAAAAAAAGACGAAATTTCAGATGCTACGCTATTGCGATTTTTCACAAAATTAAAATAGCGGGAAAATGAAGTCCAAAAGAAAAGGGAAAAAATTCGATTTTGGCAGTTAGGTCAAAAATCCGCGATTTTGGAAACTAATTAGTGTAATCTAATCAACCAATCAATCAATCAATCAATCAATCAATCAATCAATCTTTGATTGACCCCGCGCTTGTGTCAGATCAGGTTGTCCTGATTCGCAAGCGGTGCTCTGATACCAAACTGTCACATGCCCAATGCGACAATGCGTAGGGAGCCAAGGATCCGCAATGTGATGAAAAGGACTGAAATTGACAATGCAAGGTCAGCGGAGCATCAACAAGCAATGTACATTCCGATACATAGAAGATGGCACAAAGTGGCGCAGCGGAAAACTTTAAAGAGAAGATCTGATCTGATCTGATCTGAACTGACCCGACATCCATCATACGTCACACATGTGAGAGGGGAGGAGGGACCGCAATCACAGAAGAAAGGTCCCTCCTTCACACACATACATGGGGAGATGCCACAGATGAGAGATGGGGGAAAGGGACGAGACAAAGGAGAAGGAGGCGAGGGAGTAGACCAAGATCGCGATAACGAAGTCCCAAAAATAGTCCCTTGCCGAGTGTCCAATCAATGTCTGTCCCGCAAAATGTCGAATCAGATTCTGGGCAATGTGCCCAACATAACCTCTACCTGTATCTCCTACCGATAACCTCTCTCACTCTCATATGTGAAGAAGAGATAAAAAGGAGGAGGATGGAGGAAGAAGGGAGAGAGAGATGGAGGAGGAGGAAGAAGAAAATGTCCTCCTTGCTATCTCACCTGCAGGTAGCTG